TCCAAAGAGAGAATTCAGCTAGGTGCGGCATTTCATCGACCGCGGCCCCGGGCGCCACTTCAACACCGTACGCCCCCGAGCTCCAGTACACCCGGAAAGCGACGGAAGTGGAGCCCCTGGAGCTGCAGAAAACCGCGTTTTTGCATCGAGGATCGCTCCAATGAGGGAGCTAAGTGAGAGGTTCTGATGACCGAGTAGCATGGCATGAAACAAGACGAGAATACTCAAGACGGCAGGCTCTCAAGGATGATCTCGAATTTCTCTTTTCACGGCCGATACCTCATAGGAGGAAAGCCGACCCCACCTAACCAAGTTTCCCGGCGCCCACCTCTCCCCTTAAGCATGGCTTTCTCCTACAGCAGAACCCCGAAGCTTGACGCCCTCTCTGGAGTTTCCGCGGGGGCATCCGGCGGTGAGAAATCTCGCGAGAACAGAAATGGGAATTCGTTCAACCGAGCAAAACGGCACCATTAATGCTCGAGAACTCAAATTGAGGCAGCATCTTCAAGTTCCTCCCGATGGGAGCATACGAATACCCAGACCGTGTTATGTGAGTGAAGTTGAGAGCCTTCACTAGTGGACTTCCGTCTCACGAGAGAAGGAGGAAAACCTTCTCGAATCCACGACTATTGACTGAAACGTCGGACATCGCCGCGAACAGCGGACCAACAGGATTTGCGAATCATCGCGGCTGCGAAGTATGGGGACTCTTAATAACCTTCGAATCACGGTATCATTCGGCTCGTTTATGACCGTCGTGAATAATCACATCCCTGCTCAAACCTAATAAAGTTCCGAATCAGGCACCAACGCTTGCACATCGGGTCAATCGCTGATCGTGAAAAAGAGTTCGATCTCCAGCTCGATTCATCCGAGCTGCGGTGTGGTTTCTGGGAGGATGTATTAGAGGGATGGACTCCATCGGGGTCATAGTGCCATAGTTTCTCTCCCCTCACCGAGATGCCGAGACCCTTCGATCATCGAGCGCTGGACCTTACAGTATCGAGGGATACCTGATTCATACTGCTGAATCAAGTCGTAAGATCCAATCTAACCCATGTATTCGGACGCCAGAGCTCCCGAAAAAAATGCTCCGAGGATTCAGCAACCGCTTGCAGGGAAATTTCGGGAACTCACTAATCAAGAAACAGCGAGAAGTTTTTCTGTCGTACCTACTAAGATGACGGAGCCTTCTGGGTACCACTAGCAGCCCACTGAGTTTTGGCGACGAGGATCTCGGTATTGTTGGACATCTCGCAATGCGTTGGATGCCATTCTAGAGAGAACAGAGAGCAATCACAGGGGAGCGACGGACACGTTGTTCCGACATTTCAAAGAAAACGGGCGACAGGTTCAGACCTGAGAGCGTGAAGGAACGGACAGTGGATTCGCCGGGAAAGGGAGGTGTTCCTGATACACGATCTAGAGGCGCGACTGACTCTGAAGCGACGCAGACGTCGCGAGTTGCGGGACCCATTCCGTTCCGAGAGATTCTTGTCCTACCGAAGGTGCTCACGAGTACGCCGCGGAGAGTCCGCGGAAAGACGCTTAGATCGCCGGATTATCACTTCAATATAATCAATCGAGGAGCCTTATCCGCATTTATCGGTTGGGAAGGAGTCGGTCCACGAGTCATTCAAACGAACGACAAAGCGATCATTGCGGGTGACGAGCATCCGAAGGCGGAATTCTGCGAGGAGAAGAATTACGAGAAGATAGGTCGACGCGTGAGTAGGGCATGATACCAGAGGCGCGCACAGGGGGGGGCCAGGGCGGCCATGGCCCCCACCAAAATTCTTCGGTGTCAATGCTGAAGTATGGACCCCGAGGAGGCGCGTCATCATTTTTTGCCGTCTGGCCCCCTCCAAAACTCTAATTGCCCCCCCCCCCAAAAAAAATATCTGTGCGCGCCCCCGCATGATACCAATCGGTAGTTTATTCTCATTCGAACGGTCAGGGGGCCGCCGGAATCTTCAGCAGCCTCAGGTCGTCGCAGATCAGCGCTCCGACGAGCGGACATCGGGTCTTCACATGGGATTGTCCGAAAAGACTACCTGCAGAGAGAAGATTCCCGAAGTCCGGCTCGAGCACGTCGTGAAACGTAGCATTGGCGATATCTTGTTCAGGGTAGAGGTAGGCTATCTTGAGTGTATTCAGTCACGTAAATCAACTGTAACATCGAGAGTGAGGTGCTCGAAATCAGGATTGAGTAGCAACAGACTTGGGGGAAACACTGTCGGGCGACGGGGTTGACAGACGCGGCAAACCAGTTGGCGAACGCTCGGCGACAACGTTCCACCGATGAAAGTGGACCGTCGCTACTGCAGGTGCGGGCGATACTCCGACACCGAACCTCTTTCACAATCTGCTCGGCGTGCGGCGAGTAGATTCGTGCATATCTCCGCTGAGTATCCAGGGATTTATTCCCGTTGGTCATCTGGCTGGTCATGCTCTTAACGAGTATCTCTGCTGCTCGCGCGGCTCGGGAATACTCGAACGATTCCTGGGCGACCATTTCCATGTCAACAAGGGCGCAAGGGGCGATGTTGGTCTCCCCCGAGTCGCGATTCCGATCATGGGAATTTCCCGGGGGCGAAGGATTCCTGGGACATCATTAGAATGGTTGTACTCCGAATCAGTTCGGTCGACGGGTTACGGCCGGAACCCCCCTTATGCCTTCACGATGTTTAGCGGTGGTCGCCACATTCTCCGTAATGAGCTTAATGCCCTGCACGCAAACGCCTAAGCCAGAGTGGTTTGGTTTTATGGGTTGCGGGCAGAGCACCCAACCACGAGGCTGCATTCCAGACCTGCCGTCCTTATGCTTGTGATTCGTCACGGGACCAGGATTAGCACATGGCCCCGTCCCAGTCTGCGTGGTTCTTTACACATGGTGAGACGAACCTGAGAGACGAAAAATTCGGCGTGAAACTTGGAACTTGTCCTGCATGTACATGTTTGTTAAGTGTGCGCTGAAAGATCCCACGTATCATGCATTGCCGTCCGGCATAGCAAACAAACGTCTTCGTGCCCACCCCCTCCATCCTGCACAGCATTTCATAGTGAGCCCAGAGCTCGGATCGTGCGGTTTTCCTACATCGGTTTCCATCGGTCTATATCTCATTCTCCCGACACTGACCCGCGCGGAAGGCCCCTCCGATCGACGTATCACAAGATTGCCTCACCTGGGGAGGAGAGAATGCCCGTTTTTTACGAGCTTCGCGTATACGTCGGTTGTGCCGCATCCGTACTGATCCCAATGTCTGGACGAGACTTGTGAGAGCTCCATTTCGTTCACTGATGTGTACTGCTCACGCATGCACGCACACCGTCACAAGGGTGTGGAGGGTCTCACTGATAGGATCAGCAAGGAACTTTTTCTCGTGGAAGCGCCCGCATTTCGTTGGTGGGGCAACTCATGGATTTCTCCCTCCTCTGCTACCGAAGATGCGTTCCGCGTCCCGCGAGCATTTATTCCGTGCCACAGTCCATCGCTCTTTCCATAGCCCTTGCGCTTTCTAGGGCAGAGAAGTCCACGTATGGAAACCGGTGAAGCCAAGTTTGCGATTGGGTCCGGATTCCGCGGAAAATTCGCCTCCCTATAGTCCGAGCCTGTAAAGGTGTGGGCGACTGGCTATAGGGAAAATTGTCAACCACGGAGCATTGCCGAGGGGACAGCTAAGGAGAGCGTAATCAAGAATCCGACCCTTCGAAGAAATTGCGCTGCAATCCGCTGAACGACAACTTGTGTATTGGACACACGGCTCGCTCAGAATTCGATGAGCTCCGAGTCCGCTCCATAAGATCCTTCCTCTTCTCGTCGGCACCCTCCGGAAGTCTCACAGACGCTTTCGGTTGCTCGCGGGTGAGAAGGCATCTGGCCCTCCCAGACGGGGTAGAATTCATTCTGATCAATTCTAAGCATACACCATGCAGGCTCCAGGCTCAATCCGGAAATGAGGGAGGAATGAATCCTCGATCGACCGAGTGATTGAGGGCCGACAGTTGTTCCGGATCCCGCGATTAGGAAGGAGAATATCCGCCAGGAGTGAATGGAAACGAGGCGCGAACCATCTGAGAGGAGGGGGTGCTGCGCCGACCGTTCTCAATGGAGATACAGGGTAAAAATATCAGCCGATTTCCAAACCTACAATCACAGGAAATTCCACTCCAATTTCCGGAAAGAGAACAGCGAGATCATCAGTAAGGGCCCGATTAAGCTTCGCGAGCTCCGCGGATTCGTCACGGGGGAAGTCCCAGCTTCTTCGGGAAGCACAGGCTTATATCGAAGCCCTTACGCTTCCTGCAAAGTTCTTCCGCGGAAAGTCCGTCAGACACCAGCATAGCAATCATTATTCGGGAGAAAGAGTCTTGTATCCTATGCTTCGCTCAGACCTTGAGACTTGGCACTCAAAAGCTCGAGGCGATGATTGTCTTCCAAAGGGATGTCTCATTCTCTTTCTATGAATCCCACGGAAGTCGATTGTCCGTACAGTTTCAGTTCCGCCTAATGCCCACGATCAGCAGCCCCGTCGGGGAATCAGAGTGGGGCGATCCGGAAGGCTTGTTTAACCGGACTACAGTAGAACCTCGTTGTAACGGACTCCAAGGGACCAGCCGAAAGTGTCCGTTATAACAGGAGTCCCTTATATCCGACCAAGGATTTTGGGTAGCCTATGAGCACTCTCACTCTCAGAGTTCTCAATGGGTTTGATCATCGCTCTCCGCCGATAATGGACGTAGTAAGTTTCGTGGACTCGGATACAAGAACGCGCCCCACGAAGTGTACAGAACGGTCTCACTCTTTATTGTCGAAGAAAGCGCGAATACTCGCGTGTCGGGTGTGATTGCTTCTATACTCGACTAACTTCTCAATGTCCAAAAGTTTTTGCTGTGATATTTCACTGTCTCTCAATGTATAAAGGTATCGTTGCAGCGTCTCATCAAGGACTGAAATTTTTGTATCAATGCTGAGCGCTTTCCGTTTCACTTTGTCGGACATCCTGAGAACTTATCCAACTCGAATCGGCAGATTCGATCAGCGACTGCTCTCAGTTTGTGAACAGATTCCGCGTCCCGCTTGTAATTATGAGCGAGCCGAACCGTGCACTCGCGAATCATGTGCACCTGTTCTGATGGGAACGTTTCGAGAACTGAAAGACTGCAACGGCTCTCACACTCGAATACCGGAGGATCGGTCCGTTGTAACCGTACTAAATAAAAGGAGCGCTATAGGATGCGGACTCCGGAAAAAGTCCGCTGTAAGCGGAAGTCCGTTGTATCCGAGTCTGCTCTAACCGGCTCTCTCAACATGGTAAACTATAGGGACTTGGTCGGGACCGCCAGAAAAGTCCGTTATAACCGAGGGTCCGTTATATCCGGGTCCGTTATAACGAGGTTCCACTTTATCTTGACGTCCATGGTCTTAGGCTCATGTGAGATACCATTCGACGTCGGCTTAAAACTGCCCCGAGGAAAGCGGAAGTCAAGACGGCTGATCAGACTCGAGTTCCTATGATTGTGAGCGTAGAGATCCCACTCTGTATCTGGGGGCTTCCTCTTCCGTTTCGTCTCTCCAATACCGACAAGTTCCCTAACTACCGCTCTTGAGGGTCTAAAACTCGGTCACCACGGCGCGGCGTCGAGAAAGTGAGGACGTGCCGACTCAGGGCGGCGAGAATATCAATCCTGAGAACACCAGAGACCCGACCGATATTCGAGCTAGACAATTAATGGGAGATTCGTCCAGTATTCCCCTCGTACATGCAGAGAAGTCTATTCAAAACGCGATGACAACTTTTCCATTTCATAGAGGGATTTCGTCCCCTGACGACTGTCAGAACCATTAGCAATAATATGTCGGCTGTCGGCTGCGAGACGAGGCAACGACCACCGTCACGTCTGGAGTTTCGGTCTGCCGTCATATTCCACATAGGTAGTTTCCGGATCTGATCCAGTCGAGGGTACCATGAGAAGTCTTGAAAAGATGACGCGCATTGGTGAGCTCCGGAGACGGATCCGGAACAATGAGTGTGGAACTGTCGAGCTAATGAATCAATGAATCAAGAGCTCAATGGAGGGCAGGCCGCTGCTCGCGATTATCGCGGAAGTTGGGAGGCTTCCGCTCATGAGATCCATTTTTCGTCGCGAGTACCGATTTTCTTGGAGCTTTGGCGTGCTTTGTCGTGTCTCACACCAGGAAGACCGCCGATCGGGAAACCCTACCTAGAAAAATCTCGGTGAGACATGGATCCGCCTTTCCAAAACGGTTCGGAAATGCATCGGACCGAGTCTGCACTTCAGTTGGGTCGACAACTGGGAGAGCAGAGGAACCTGGAAATATTCGTCGGATCATTGTGGAGAACATTGCGTCGCGTCAACGATCCAGGTCACGCTCCCTTGGACGGGTGCGTTGCCTCTAGACCTCACTGGAGTCCGGCTCAGCCGGTGACAAGGAACCCCGTTTCGGCTATCGATTTCGGTCATTGGAGACTGCCAGTTTCATTCCACTATTCCGATGAGCACGTCTGCATATTCCCTTCTCTTCACGTCTCAAGTGGGAACTCCATGGAAGTCAGGCGGTGCTTGCCTCATCATAATCAGGCGCGATGGTGAGCGTCTTGATCGGGCATAATCTGGAATCAGGCTCTCGAGATGGCGTGCTCGATCTCCAGGGGGTACTGATTGTCGAGCGGGAGGAAAGGGGCACGACGAAAAACTTCACGGAACTCTTGTTCAGGCGATCGTTTTCGGCGTTGTGTGGAATGGCGCCTGAGGCAGGATCAACAGCGCCACGCAGCGATATCTCTCGGAGGGTATAGTGCTTTCGGAGAATCGTCGTGGACCCCGGCCCAACCCTTCCCGAAGATCCGCCCTTCCCCGCACGCAGCTCAGAACTAGGTATTCGTTCCGGGGAGTACTCGAAGGTACCGTTCCGGAATTGATCCATCATCAGTGCGGCGACATTGAGCGATCGGAAGAATGGGCTTGCCACCAACCGATGTTTCGGGTACTCATGATTGCTTGACGCAAGGAATGTACGGCATGGGGAAAACTCTCGGTAGAATGGCGCTGCCATGGGGCTGCGAATGATTTCCCTCGCTCCTGGGTATGGGGAGGGTCTTGTGAAATGAAGACAAGGCAAGTTTTCGACAGATTAGCTGTGCCACCACAAGCTAGATGCAGTTCGACGTGCTTGAAATACAATCATCATTGTTTGCTTCCGCGGACTCGGAGCATCGGAATAAGCTCCGATTTCCGCGGCGAGCTCGGCTCATTAAAAATTCGAGCTCACAAAACCGAAGATTACCGTCATCTGGCACCTTGTCTTCCTGAATCTAGAATACCCTCTCGAGAGCGAGAGAGAAATGAGAGCTCACCTGCGGCCGTACTACCCCGGAATCCGACACTTTTCCGAAGATTCGTCGTAAACCCGTCATGAGGTGACTCAGGAGGTGACTGTTTGTACAACAGTGAACTCCCTGTCGGTCCGCTGCCGAACTTCATGTGCCCCTTCTTCAAGTCGCATCCCATAACATAGAGCGATGTCGCACTTACCCAATGTCATACCAGCTATCTCGCATCTACGACATGAATCCGCATACGAATTTTCTACCATACTCAGAGCATTCGGAAAAGCAAACTCCCGCTCAGAACAACCACGGACTCGGGGATCCAGCGATCGCGCGACAAAAAAACGAAAGACCTCACGACACTCGTATCGAAAAAAACTTTGGAATCGTGCTACGAGCCGTTCCCGGACTTATGACGCGACGGCGGGAGATACAGGAATGGGCCGCGCTCTCTCGATGGGGAAAACTCCGGGGAAGCGGACATGGACTCGAGCATTCGGGCTTCTTCCTAGATTTGCCGATGCCATGCTCTCACGACGACCGTAGATAGGAGCAGAAACGGCAACCAAGACACGATATCGATTCTACTCGGAACATATTTTCCGCCAAAAGCCAACCGACACGCAGTCGGAATTGGCTCCGCTGAATTCGCTGATCGGCATCGATGGAGCAGGCTCGAAGCTTACGCCGACTGGGCTCGGCTCGGGAATCGTCTCTGGAGCTGACTGTGAGCTGAAAATGAAATTAGCAAATGAGTGTTTTCCCGACTAGGCTCGTAATTGGACCTCTTCTCGGTGTGCACGCGAGAAAGCCAGGCTTCCAGGCTCTTTCCCCTCTGCAGCCGTTCCTTTCCTTCCGGAGTGAGTTCCTTCCTCCATCGCGACCCTTTCCGAGGAAGACCCTCGCGGCTACCGGCAGGTTCACTGCAGCCACATTCTGACGCATCCCTCCCTAGCGTCTGTGAATTCCTCTGGTTCATCTCCCCCTTGTTCCCGAGGAACAATTTCCATCGTTGTCGTCCACTGAAAATCGTCCGGCATCAGTTGTATCCGACTCGAAGTGGAACTCGATAAATTCTTCGCTGTCTGCGAGCGGATTCCCTCCCCGGAAAAGGAAACCTCATATGCTATCAATACTCTCTGATCGCAATCAGGTGCGTAGCCTGATCTAGACGCTTGAGGGATGAGAATTTTACCAGCCCCTCCCGACGCCCTCGCGTCACGTCCCCCCCCCCTCCCCGCTCCCAAAAGCCCCCGCTTCCATGATGATGCTCGCTTGGCGCGCCTCTTATCCTGTTCTACATGATTGTTATCCTGCTTGAATGATCAGACGGATTCATTCACGACGAGCCTCGGCTTTCATCCGAGGCTCGCCATTCTCTCTTAGAAGTGCAGCCGGACGAGCTCGCGAAAGAAGGAAAACTCTGCCCATCTGACTATTCCGGCGGCTAGTGCATATCGTAGCAACGGTCCGCGCGTAATAAGTAATAACTACGCTTGTGTGGGAGAGAGAGACTCACCGAATTCCGGTACGGGCCAAATTTATTCAAACGGACCTCCGCTGAAGGCGGCAGTGAGTTTCTCGGCTGTCTGAGTTCGAGTCGACGGCCAGCAGAGTCTGGAATGGAATGCGCATCCAGATATGAGACGAGAAGTCTACTCGAGGGTATGAGTATGCACCGACATTATCGAGTCCAGAACGCTTGGTGGCAAATATCCCCGAGCGTGAAGCCAACGCCTCCCTTACGTCAGCCAGAGAAACATTCCGGCCCTGACACAATGCATAGAATACGAAGGCCGGGCTCGTTACGCGCGAACCAGGTCTTCTCCCCGCGTTTTTGCCATCCGCCGCGCCGCCGAGTCATGCACCGCTATCCCCATCCGACCACTCACATGATCCGACCCCGCTTCCCTTCCCTGAGTCAGGATGATCGACGTCAAGGCAAGTTCCGCTTGACGCAAAAAGAATTGCGATCGGATGATCGTTTGCTTTATCGAATCGGGGTGATCATCGAGTATTTGTCGCCAAGCGTCATCAATGCCAGTCTCCAAGTCCGCGACCGACTGCGTTTCGAGCTTCCCGGGGCGAGGCGCTCACTCGAAACAACGATATGCTGCTCGAGAGAGAGTCATAAAGTTTCCTTCCCCGTAAATGCTGCCCGAGGATGACTCAATTGGTCTGACGGGAATTCGGAATACTGTCCGGGAGCAAGCCCTTCAGATGCCTCTATTCCGTGTCCTAGCGCTTATAGATGCATGAATTTTCTCTTTCATGATCCAATTCGCTTTCTAAGGAATACGAGTCCTCGACAGCTCCTCCCTGTGAAAGCGAACGGAGGCCGCCCCTAATGAGCTCTTCCTTATTCCTCATGCAAGACACGTCTGGCGACGCTTGCCAAATCGAGAGCTCCAATCGGCGAATCATTCGGCCTGTCTTCCCTTTTCCACTCATCGAATTGGTCACATACTCTCCTAGAGTTGACTCCGACGAATAGGCCTCCGGGTCGGTCGGAGCAGGGCCTGATCCCGCAAGAAGGCCGGGCTGTCAGAGTTTCTCAGGTTGTTGATTGTCAGCCCGAGACCTGATTCTAGCTCATTGCGGAATCGATCGTCGGGTCGGCATCGTAGGCTCCCCGAGAAAAATCAATCAGTCAGTGCAATGAGCTTCCGGATGACGCTGTGAGCAAGAAGCTGAAGCTTCAGGACGGAGATCCTCATGGTGGACGAGAATCGGAGCAGGATCAGTCACGCGGTCGACGGGCCCATCCGGAGCCGCAAGCAAGGCTTTGGAGCATGCTCTGGATCGCCTTCTCCTTGGGTACCTCTTGCGCGGCCCTCTTGGGTCCGTCTTCCATCTTCGATTGGGCCGTCGCGGACTGCCACCTCGCCTTTACCATTGCGTTTCACATGACAAGGAATCGGTCCTCGTCGCGGCTGACAGAGCAGCCCCCCATGATGGGCTCTAGGGCCACTGGCAAGAACCTCTTAAGGATGGCCATGAAGGAGTTCCTATATCCGCAGACCTCCGAAGTAGGGCACGCTCCTCTCTCTGGAGCCTCACCTCGGCGCAACTTCTCGAAAGCACCACAATTGGATTGGATAGTGAGTTTGGCGGGGCTCTGGGGAAGCGCGCGGATTTCCCTCGACGGCTCGGGCTACAGACTATTCGGGTGTTTCCAGGTTCGTGTGCTGTCGTGTAAAGAATGGCGGGTAGTCACAGGGTATCGGTGGATCGATGTCCGATATTAGCGCGCGGCGAGCCGCGGCCGGACGGAGTCAGTCTGTCGGAGTCAGATGATCAGCTTGAGGGATACTACACAATGCTTATTGGCGTTCGAAGAATCGAGCAGGAGGAATGGGAAGTCAGAGAGGGACCAGTCAAGCCGGGTCAACTTGAACGACCGCAGAATCGAATGCTGGTCACGTCGGTTCCGGCGAGTTTACGGATGGTACGAATAGTTTGAATTAGCTCTTACCGAGAGCGCAGTCTCGGAAACGGCGAATGGAAACATCCTCGTGCGACGCCGCGAATGCAAAGTGCGCAATACGAAAGGAGGCAGCGATTCTACCCCATTCGATGCAACACACTTGCAGATTTGCCGGACCTGGATACCGGCATATTATTCCCCTCCATAGCAGGAGTCGCTCATCTCTCAGTCTTCCTCTCGGGTTTTGAGCGACACTATTATCGCTCGCTCTGTTGCGCCCAGCTGTTGGGAGAGTTGCCGGTGTCCACGAGTACCTTGGGGTTGTTTCCGAAAGCAAAGAATTCCGATTCCGGGCTCTTCTCCGAGCGTGGAATTTTATCGGCTGCCATCAATTGTTCGAGCGTCTAAGCACAGTCTAATTATTCGAAAACCACACACGATGTGCTCGTATCACCCCTGGCTCTTTACGAACATCGGATACGCTTGCAGCATGACCTTCGGCAGAACCGAACGTCGCGTCGCCGCTCTAGCCCCCACACGAATCCAAGACATCGCTGATCTAATCCGCATTGCGCTCCTTTCTGGGCGGACGCCGCACCGATGATAAACGGGGGAGGGGGGGGGGGCAACAGCGAACGATGCTTCCGTAAGATTAGGTCTGTTGCATCGCATTAACTCGCCAGCTGTGGATCCACGTATGCAAATGAGATTGCAAGCGAAAAGGGAAACCAGACGACACGAACATAAAGCGGCAAGCCCCGCTGGCTCATTCCTCGTGCGGTCGCCTCAGCAAGCTCCATTGACAAGCTGGATTGCTGGGCGGCGCTGACGCTTCAGTGCATGCTTCCAGTGACTGCGCAGAAGTCTTCTGTACTCATTTATTATTTACGTGTACTCATTGGATTTCCGAAAGATTTCTGCTGCGTTCGTTGGGAACCGAAACGGAACTCGGAGCGCACTCGATAGCGACGCAACCGGCGGGATCTCAGGGAGCACATACACGCGACGACAAATCGCAAACCAGCGCAGAGGCCAACGGAAGCCTACTCGCTCCCCGACGTCGACGCCAATGTCGTCGTTCCCCTCCATTTGAGGGACCGAGGTTCGCGGAGATTGTGGTCAGTGTTTCGTCGCTGCGGCCATTGCTGAGTCCGCTCTCCACGACACTTCGTGAGGTGGATTGCTGCATACCAGAGCCGTGCTTTCACCTACCTTCAGGAGAACACAATGCAGAAGTTGGTTTACCGCTGGTAGTCATTCTGCTGCGCCCTTCGCGCTCCTTTCATTCGGAAAGCGGGCCTCGAAGCGCTCCGTGAAGGCGGTGAATCGACTCATTACGACGCGACCCAACGTCGCGTCTGCATCGCTTCTGGCGCAGATCAGTCATGTTGGCTTTCGATGACAAGACGTTCACCTCATTTGGGCACTATTTGGCACGGAATCCTCCGAACACGCAATCGTCGGCCCAAGTAGTAATCCAGTTCCTCAAGATAGGAGAGTACTAGGTGCTTATGTGGCAGCCTCCCACAAGAGTGGCCCGCGAGCGAAATCCGAATGAGCTAGGGATAAATAGCTTCAGTCAGGCTTAGTTGCATGGGATACTCGGAAAGAGACCGCTTGACGAGCTTCGCGCTTCTGGAAAGCGTTTCCTCCGAATGTTTCTATACCCCATTAATTCTATACCCCATTAATTCTATACCCAATTAAACCCCACCCTGCCCCATGTGTTAGGCTGTCGATGCCTGAAGCATAGGTGAGGATGGAAAGAAGGTCAGTTATCTCTTTCGATTCCACGATTTCGAATTTGGAGGGAGGGCTTGCTGTGTTTGGAGGCGGCCGTACGAACACCTGCCTATTCGCGGAATCAGGAGACGATCGCATGGAGATCGTCTACTCAATGAAAGTTCGGTAATCAAGCAGCTGATCCCTAGCTGAGGAAGATCTGGGAGATTCCCCCTCTGCCACCGATGCATGCGCTCATCACCGATAGCATTCCCTTCAGAAAAACGGGATCGCATCCTCGAACGTATAACCTGTAACCGCTCGTAAGTGTCTCGAGCGAAATGCATGGAATGAATCCCCGGTTTGGACATGTACGCTCCGGTGAAACTCCCCGCTGCCTGATAAGAAGGGGAAAATGAAACCTTCCCCGTTTCAACGGAGCGAGAACCAAAGTCTGAATAGAAGCTATGGAGCGTGAATCCGAGCGACGGCGTGTCAACCCGGCGTTTTGCTTTACAGGAACATGGCTTCTACAGACGAGCAGCGGCTCGCTGACGAACTCGCAGACATTGATCTCGATGATCCCGAGCTCGCTCAGGCTGCTTCGAAAATACAGAAGCAGTTCCGAGGCTTCAAGAAAGCAAGCGGGGACTCGAAAAAATTAGAAGGAGCACCACCGCCACCTCTAAGTGACGAGGTTTCGCAAGATGAAGAAAGTTCCGGAAAACGAGGAACTCCACAAGGAGAAGACGATGTGAGTGCTGGTCTTCCGATTATTATCTGTCAAAATTCTCTATCAAAGAGGTTCCGGTTTCCTAGGCTCAGCTCGAGCTGCTCACTCTCTACCGCTCAAACGAGACTCGCGGATGTTGGTGCCCGATTCCCTCCTTTCTCGCTGAGTTATTGGTGCGAACACACGCGATGATTCAAGGAGTTTCCAGATACTCATCTTGTTTTTTCAGGAGCTCGCGGATATCGACCTCACGGATCCCGACTTAGAGAGAGCGGCGGTGAAAATTCAATCGACCTTTAAAGGCTTCAAGACGCGCCGCGCACCTCAGAATTAGCTCTGTTTGCCTTCTCCTCCATGATTGATCTGAACAACCGTGACATATTCCTGCGTGTTGGGGAACACGGGAACATCATTGTGGGACGGCTCGCGGTTCAGGGTTCTGCCTCCTGGCGCAACGAACGCAGTCTATACGTTCCGAGGATATAGACCCCGGAAACATGAACCTACCTGGCAAGCGATTGACGTCTCTAGGAATCGCTTGATTCTGGTTCTAGAATGCATGAAACAATCAATTTACTGGTCATTCGCCGACCTCCTACTTAACTATGAGGGTGCATGGGAACGTGTCTTCCGAGATTGATTCGGATTCATTGTAGGCTTCAGGCTCGTCCGAACGAAATCAGCCATTTACCCAATTTTATGCTATGAAATCATCGCTGGAGCCGAATTCCCCGAGGAGAAGTGCTTTGAACTGCGTAGATGAGTGAGATTGAGAATGGATGCAGGGAGTTGGATTCTACGCTGGAGTCTCCATTCTTTGCCTCTCAATTGTTGCGGATCTCCATTTAGCATAGTTTCTTACTTGTTGAATAATTCCACACCAGCTCAACCTAGCCCGTCGGGGGGGGGGGAACGTCATTGACTTCCGACAGAAGACAAAATCAATCACGAATATCTGTTTCTCTGATCTGTGAATCGACGCACTTTGTCGAATCGGATCAGTGGTTTTCGAGTTTCACAGTTCGATCCCCCACCCAAGATATCAGACCTCGTGCTCACCCGTATCGACGATCTGTTTCTCTTCCCTCGACGGATCCTGGAATCAATCTGTTGTCGGCCTGCACTAGGAAGATTGACCGATGGGGCGATTTAATCAATAGAACTTCATGATTGTTGCCCTTTGGTCCAAGCATCTTCGAGAATGATTTTCCTCCATAGGATCTTGATTCGAAAATAAATGCCAAATGAAATGCGTAATTTTTTTCTGGCGCAAGAGTGCGCGGTCGAGTCGACCTCGCCCAGTTTTTCTCTAGCCCAGCGCGTATCGCGACGTCTTTTCCAGGTCCTCAAGTCGACGATCATCATCCATCGCGAACCGATGAGATCACGACCGAGAACATGCAATGGCGGAGAGCGGGACCATGGCGATGGGATTTCCAATGAATACGGAGGAACATGCATGCGTCGCCTGACAATCAGTTCTCCCTCCCGGAACGAGTGTTGCGGCTGCATCTCATGGGCAGAATCGATTTCTCGTCAAAGGCGAACACAATTTTTCCTTGTTTGTGCGGATCTGCTTCCAGCGACTTGCACAGAAAATCGATGGGGCCTGGCCTTCTTCAATACGACCTCCTGGGCGCGTCTGAGTGAGCTTTCCCCACGCAAAGGAGCTGGCAAGTTGATTGAAAGAAGGAAGCCGCTCTGCGAACGAGTACTTCTTGCGGTGCCGCCTGTATAGCGATTGCATTCTGGGTCCTAGGGGCTACCTCGGCCGCCGCTGAGCAACTCACACGGACAGATGTCGACAGGTGACGACTTACACTTTACAGACAAAATATAACGGAGGCGGGATCCCCCCTCCCCGGAGTCCATCGTTCGCTACCGGTGCGGAGTCGAGGAGCCGGGCGCGAAGCGTCAACGTCGTGAGGATTCAATGGAGCATCTAACCCTTTGTCGCCGTTCATGCCGGATAGACTCCGCGAAAGTCAGGGAAGGATAGATGACAGTCTTCCTTCTTGGCAGAATCCTACTTCCACAGCTGCTGCGTACTCGGAGGGAGTACGGCAAGTCGGCAAGCATTCATCCTTCTTTCCAACTGACTCTTGATTTCCGGACGGGTGTTCTTCCCTCGTGGGAAATTATCCGCAGCTGCATGGGCTGGACGCAGCCGTGCACGGAAGGACGAACGGACTGCAGCGTAGCTCGCCGCATGCTGCTGAGCCATGCTGCAGTCAGTCGGTTCCCCTGCCACACATTCTCCTCCCGCCCCGGGGGAAACACAGAATAACGAGCACAGGGTTTATCTCTCGTAAGGGCACGCGAAAATGACGAGAAACGGTCAAGGCCTGTCGGAAGCTCCGACGAATAAGCGTCGAAAGCAATACGGAGAGCGCTCCGCTCATTTCCTCTTGTTAGCCTTGCTCATCAGACCTCTCAAACTTGTATCCATCGTTCGATTGAGGGACGATGAGCTTGTCATCGCATGGTAACAACGATGAGATCCGGTAGCCTGATTGCTTGATGTGGGCGCACTCGCGAGTGTTTCACGCACCTCGATTTGAGCTTCCCTGTGGAGGGAGCTCCCCCTGCCGTGGTTTCCCAGACCGCATAATGATCGTGGACAACGTAGGGCATCTGCGGGTCCGAGTAGACCTGCTGCGGATTCTCGCCGCGAATCAGCGGTGACCCTTAATATCGAAAATCCCCGCAAATACATCATCGAGGAGTTCGGAGTCTCTCACAAGAATAGCGCTTCGGGGCTGAATCGTCGATGGCTTCCAAGGCAGAGTCTGATGGGCTTGTCTCGAGCATTCAGATGACATTTTCGGTACGATTCTGGATCCGACGGTTACGGATGCTAGCTCCAATAGAGCCCATCCGTTTCCTCTCGCAAACAGACATCGCTCGGTGGACAGATTCCTTGCCGATATTGAGTTACAGCTCTCATAGTGGAGAAAGGAAGGAAAAATCACCGCGGTCAGAGCCAAGTCCGCTTCCGGTCCTGATCCCGACGGATAGAGTCTCGATGCCACGATGCAAGCATCCCGTATCTAGATGTGCTTCCCGGAAAGTCCGGTCAGGACGCGGGGAACCTCAAGACCCCCGCTGGATTACATGAGTTGGGAACAAACCCGACCGGCTCTTCCCATCGCCATGTGGCGCCCGAACATGAGGAATAATCGCCTGCTGCTCGCCCGCTGCGGGAGCCAGTGGCTAATCTAGCTACAACAAGAGTCAGGAGCGAAGTATTTCTAGCGAAAGCCAGAATGGGGAAGCGCCCAGTGTACCACGAGACCTGTCTCTTATCCGCTAGGATAGATAATCTTTCCTCCGTGAGCTCTCTCCGTTGAGGGCTAGCACTCCATTTATCGGCTCCATGGGGCCACGGGCAATATAGGAGCTGCGTTGTCATCATTACGAAATCATCCCGATCCAAGACGGCTTTTCTTCGGAAATCCACAGCATTTTTCGCCCCCATGGACTTCCTAAGGAAGATCGCCTGGAGATACCGAGGAAATTCACGGCGTTTGCCGCGACTGCACTTAAATCCCAGCCCTACTCCCAACTAAGTGCGTGTGTACAAACGGCTTCGTGCCCCACTCGAGACTCGGGACCCGGGAGGAGAATTTTGAGCGGGAATATGGGTGAGGAATAGAGCGAGGACTTCGAAGGCCTGCCGGGTCAAGAGATCCTGGCTCTGGCGTCGTACTTCCGAAAGTTGCGCTCCCCATTTCCCTCTCAATCACCCGAGGAATATAGTACGCTTGCGATGATGGGAAGCAAGATGACGAGCCTTTCACCCCGCTTTCCGACGTCTCCCATTGTCACGTCGACCGACGAAGCATTCGCTCGACGGGCCAACTTCCTCGTCGAGCCTGAACCAGACCCGTCGAGCTCCACTTCAGGACTCAGTTAGGACATGTTCCGGTCGAACTTGTTGCTGATAAGTCTGGTCGCCCTGAGATCTGCGAATCCGGAGTCTCCTCCGTGGAATATTTAAGGCTCGATCTTATCATTGTAATGTTTCATAGAGTGTGGCTCCGAGGGTCGCGGATGACGATTCTGGTCTTAGTTTCAAATACGATCACGATTCCCTTCATCATCATAGTCAAGATCGGCGACGGAGTATGGGTGTACACACGGGCAAAATAGCCATGATCATAGGAAGAATCATGGGCACGAACACGGCGATTCCTGTAGAAGAACGCCTCTCCTACGATTCTCATCTCAGACATACTAGGGGTAAGAATCATCATCAGCGACAACGACGTCACTCGTCCACAAGGACAGCTTTACCAAAATGATTGTATACTGTTGGATTTCATGATTACGCCTATGAAGGGAGATTTCAAAGGCGGGATGACCAAACATCACACCTGTGATTTCTACCACGGTCGTGAATCAGGATCATGACTATGGAGAGAATCGTGAGGGTATGAGAACTTCTAGTATTTGACCATAATCGGCGGCTCTCTCTAAAGCCTCTTACCTCATGATTTTTTTGATTCTGTTATCTTGATTATGATCCCAGTAATAATTCATGATCAGGGTGGTGATTATGGATTCGCCCGATGGCGACTCCATTCTCTGAACTTTGTCGGTTTCGCTCCTCAATTGATACATGCGAGCATGAGCTCACTAGAGCCACGAAAAGGCTCATATCAGTTTCTCTCCGGAGACCGATCCGTACGGGCGACTCACTCCGCCCATGAGTCCTCGTTTGGTCTATCGGTGAATGAAACCCATACAAAGTGATGGCGACGAACGGCGAGCGGCGGCACTGGAGACCTGTACCGCGAGAGCGAGCAAGTAGCACACCAACCCACCGAGCGGTTCGGAGCGAGAAGGAGCACGTACCTGACGAGCGGCACATCATCGTCCTTTTTGTGATAAGCGTCGGACACGCGAGAACAGGGAGGAGATCACAAACTCTAGTGGTCCTAGTCGTTCTTGAAGCTCACGTCTGCAATGTTTCTTTTTTTTTGGAACTCGGGACCTCGTCACCGGATTCATCTCGAATGTGGAGCGATGCAGGGTCAAATTTTCCTCGAATTTTCCGCGATATAATTGACAGAATAGATCACTTCTTAGTTCCCGGGATCATCCTCACCCACCGCACGGCTAGATCGGTGTGAGGCCCCCGAGGAGCTGCGGTTGGATCCACTCAGATCCGCGAGCGTCTTCCGGCTTGCAACTCGAGATTCATAGTACAGTCTAGGCAAACGAAGGAGCTTTGATCGCTTCCGTCAAAATGATGATGTATCATCCTCCGAGGAGCGGATCTGGATCATACATTCGAGAACGTGGAACTCCTTCTCGACGGATCCGGTGCTC